CTTTTATGTTCAACACATAGGAAGGGGATAAAGGGAGAGTGATAGGGTGAGGTTGATTGGAATACATTGATTACATGTGTGGAAATATCAGTGAACCACGCCCTTCACTCCCTACTTGTATGATTAATCTATGCTAATAAAAATGTAAAAACTCAATAAGCATAATAAGATGTGTTTCCCTGAGTTCTGTGAGCTGTTTCAGCAAATTAGTAGAATGTGAGGAGTGGGGTTGAAACTTATAGCTGGCCTCCTAAGTGCAGGTGGTCTTGTGGGACTGAGTTTTTAAGCTGTGGAATCTGACTCTACTTCTGGATAGTGTCAGAAGTAAATTACTTGTTGGTATATAGCTAGAAAAGCTTCACATTTGGTTAGAAGAATGTTCTGAGTTGTGAGTTTACTTTTTCCCACTCCCTGTCTTTATAAAAAATTAATAATTACCAAAGAATTGCCTTTCTTCTCCTACCATGGAAGACATAAGAATGCTCTTTCTGAAATGGACTGTCACTAGATGGACACTGCATCTACAGACACAGTGATAGCAGCATCATGACCTTGGACTGACCAGCTTCCAGGTCTGTGAAAAATAAATATCTTAAGTTTTTCACATGGAAATTTCCTGACTGGGGACAGATTGGTATATTAGCTTTAAAAAGCTCAAGAGAATCTTCCTTTCTTTTTCATTGAAGCCTTGAACTTCCCCTCTTCTTTGTTAAGTTAGTATATAGTAAATTTTTTTTAGTCAATCGTGGGGCTTGAACTCAGGGCCTAGCGGCTGTGTCCCTGAGTTCTTTCACTCAAGGCTAGTGATCTACCACTTTAAGCCACAGCTCCACATATAATTTTCTGGTGATTAACTGGAGATGTCTCATGGACTTTTCTGCCCGGGCTGGCTTTGAAACACGATTCTCAGATCTCAGCATCCTAGGTAGCTAGGATTACAGGCATGAACCAGTGCCCAGCTATCGTATAGTTTTATCTTTGGCTATAAGACAGTTAGTTATTGCTGAGAAACTCCAAGTTGGTAAACAAACTTCTCTATTAAACTATCTGTGATCAGTTAGTTCACAGACCTCTACCCACTAGAGTTACATGGCTAAGGAAAATATTTCCTCCTAACAGTGCTTACTCCTAGTAGCTCCTTAAAAGTAACTTGGTAGTGTTTTTTTGTTATTGTTGTTGGTCATGGGGCTTGAACTCTGGGCCTGGGTGCTGTCCCTCAGCTCTTCAGCTCAAGGCTAGCACTCTATCACTTGTGTCACAGCGCCACTTCTGGCTTCTTCTGCTTATGTGGTGCTGAGGAATCGAACCCAGGGCCTCATGCATGCAAGGGAAGCACCCTACCACTGAGCCACCTTCCCAGCAATTTGATATACTCATGTCCAGATATTCTTCTGCTATAATTAGAAACATAGACCCAGGCATAGACCTTAAAAATTCCACAGATGGGCTGGGAATGTGGCTTAGTGGTAGAGTGCTTGCCTAACATGCACGAAGCCCTGGGCTCCATTCCTTAGCACCACATAAGCAGAAAAAAACAGAAGTGGTACTATGGTTCAAGAGATAGAGTGCTAGCTTTGAGCAAAAGAAGCTCAGCAACAGTGCCCAGGCCCTAAGTTGAAGCCCCAGGACTGGCCCAAGGGAAAAAAAAGAAGAAAAGAAAAGAAAAAAGCTCCACAGACAATTCCAGTTTGCAGTCAGGGTACAGAATCCTATACTAGAAATGATCATTCAAGCCTCTCAAAGTTTAATGTTCAAGGAAACCACATGAGGACCTTTTTAAAACTCATATTCTAAGACTGGAAGTCTAGGTAAAACCCAAGGATAATTTTAAGCAGATGCTGCTCTACTCACCTGACTTTAGGCAGGATCCTTTCCCCTTCTCTTTTAAATCTTCACACAAATAGTAACACTAGAGTGAAGTAAGGAGACTGGGTCTAAGCAATATGCCTTGAAGCAATATGCCTTGTCCTTATAGTCAACTTGGTGCCTGGCTGTGTGGAGGGGGTTTTCTACACATCTCTGAAAAACCCTAGAGGTAATAGAGGACATTCTTTGGATTACAAATGTGTTTTAAGTTGTTGAGTTGTTAAGCTCCAGGAAAGTCTTTCTTCCCTTAGATTATTGGCACTTGATTTCCCCTGATTATTTCCTTAGACATTTGCTTTGCTTATATTTAATACCTTTATTAGGTGTAAGTTTCCTCACCCAATTTGTTTTGCTTATATTTAACACCTTTCTTAGATTTGTATTGTCATTTGGTTTTCTCTGCTTATGTATAACACTTAGATTAGGATAAATTCCTCACAGCTTACATGGTTTTGGCCTAAATAAGCTTTGTGCTAGCTGCATTCACAGCTGCTGGTCTTTGAGAAAAGAGTCCACCAGCAGTCTACTGGCTCTCCAATAGACTCCCAATTCAGCCTCTTAAGTGGTGGATTCTCTGTTTCTTATGACTGAGTTCCCTTACAAGAGTGACTTCTTTCCTAGGCTATGCAGCTGTGGCTTGATCAAAATCATTTAGCTGACCTAAGATTGTTTACATTTTCAAGTTCTTTGCTCTGGGTAGAGCAAAGGGTAATTTGGGTGGACAAAAAAGGCCCAGTAGTAATGAAGGTCAGACTTTATTCACAGGTTTTTAGGGCCCCTGTCCTACAGTGGTGCATGCTATCATTAGGCATGTGACTATGGCTTCAAGGTTACCTAAGGTAGCTCATGCATACATGAGCTACAGTCACAGTTCTCAGGATGTGCATCACCAGTGTCTTCAAAAGTTCCCCCTGACTGAACCTGAATCTATTTGTCAAATCTACCGTCACTAAGTTGGATCCATCTTTTCTTTCTTTTTTTAAATGCTGATCCTAGGTCTTGAACTCAGGGCCTTGCAATCTTGCTTGGCTTATTTGCTTAAGATTGGTGCTTTACCACTTAAGCCACAGTCACACTCCTGTTTTTTTGCTGGCTAATTGGGAATAAGAATCTCATGACTTTGTTGGTAGGGCTGGATCTGAATCATGATACTCAAATCTCAGCTTCCTGAGTAGGTAGGATTACAGTGATGCCCAGTTATATCTTTTTATTGACACATTAAATGACCAGATCTAATGGAGGCTCAGTAATTGCTGCCATTTTGATGTAGTGTTGACTGGAAATGTCATTTTGAAATAACTGTAGCAATTATTGTAAAATGAAAATATTGGTGTTTTCAGCCAGTGACAAAAAAATTGCAAGAGTTTCTAATATTGGTTTTCTGCATTCATAATCCAAAGAAATGTTAAATTTCAAGTAGAAGTTGACACTAAAAGATTTTCTCCATGAAGCTTAAGAATTCAAAGATTATGGGTTTTCACAAACCATTGACAATATTTTTGAGCAATGACACTATAGATGGCTAAAACCTCCTTTCCAGTATTTTTCAGATTTTCTATAAGCAGATGTCACTTGTATAATTATAACAGACTTTAAGAGAAGTTTATTACTTGGCTAGATTCAAAACAGAAATAAAACAATACTTAAAAAATATTAGAGGGGAGGGATGAGGGTGGGAGAGATGAAAAGAGGGAGGAGCTACCTTTGTGAAAATAAAGAAACTGGGATCATCCCTCTAATGCTGCCTCAGAGCTAACTATCATGCAATCGTTTTAACAGACCACACATAGCTCTTAGGTCGGGAGTTGGAAGGGGAACCCTCAGGCTATAACTCACAGGTTTTATAACTTTATTGTCCACACCCTATGCATCTGTGGCTGTTGCTTCTGTGCCAGCCAGTTCTTATCTGCTTACTCCATGATTCTATTCTTGGGTTGGGAGAGAGGCATAAAAACTCCAGTTTACCCCTAACCTACCCACTACAACTTACAATTTAAAACATGCACCAGCTTCTCTGCCTTTTGATTCCTCCAATAAGCCAACCTTGGTGTTTAGCTTTTCTTGGCACTTCTGGCAGAAAAACAAACAAAAAAGCCAGTCTGGGAATGTGGCTTAATGGTAGAGTGCTTGCCTAGCATGCATGAAGCCATGGGCTCAATTCCTCAGTACCACATACACAGAAAAAGGCCAGAAGTAGTGCTGAGGCTCAAGTAGTAGAGTGCTAAACAAAAGAAGCTCAGGAACAGTGCCCAGGCCCTGAGTTCAAGCCTCACACACACACACACACAGCTAGCACCTCCCATGCCAGTACGGTGCCTCATCCCTGTAATTCCGGTGACCTCAGAGATTGACTGAAGTGTCCAGTCCATCCCGGCCAGACAGCTGATTATGGCCAAGAACAGTATTTTTATTTCCATATCGTTCCCCTCTACTAGAAAAAAAAAAAGAACTACTTGAGGGCACAGACATTGTCAATATTCGGAACACCTCAAACTCCCTTTCACAGTGGATGAGTGAAGGAAAAATTTGGGGTTCGCGAAGGCTTAGTAACGGAAATTAGCTTTTTTTTTTATACTTTGCTTATGTGGTGCTGAGGAATCGAACTCAGGGCCTCAGGCATGCAAAGCAAGCGCTCTACCACTGAGCCATCTTCCCAGCCCAAGTAACTAGTTTGTTGACTGAAAGCATACTCCTTAGAAATCTCAGTAGAAGCCGGGCTGGTGGCTCACGCCTATAATCCTAGCTACTCAGGAGGCTGAGATCTGAGGATCGCGGTTCAAAGCCACCCCAGGCAGGAGAGACCGTGAGACTTCTATCTCCAATAAACCACCAGAAAACCGGAAGTGGTGCTGTAGCTCAAGTAGCTCAAGTGGTAGAGCGCTCGCCTTGAGCTGAAGAGCTCAGGGACAGCGCCCAGGCCCAGAGTTCAAGCCCCATGACCGACAAAAAAAAAAAAAAAAGAAATCTCAGTAGATAATCATTGCCCCTGGTCCAGAAGAGCGCCCGGAGAACTTAATCCCCTAATCCCAAACAGCGTTCGCGGCGCTCGGTGCGCAACTGCGGCTGCGCAGCCCGCAGTGTGGGCGGGGCCTACACACTTCCGGAAGCGGGTCGGGAACCAGCGAGACTAGAGCGGGAATCGCGAGTGGGCTAGAGCGGCACGGGCACGGCGGGAGCCGGCCGGTCATGGAGGACGAGAAGAGCTTCACAGATCTTTGCGGCGGCCGCCTGGCCTTGCAGCGTCGTTACTACTCGCCGTACTGCCGGGAGTTCTGCCTCAGCTGCCCTCGGCTCTCGTTGCGCTCACTCACGGCTGTCACCTGCGCGGTGTGGTTGGTGGCCTACGGGCTCTTCAGCCTCTTTGAGGTAATGGCGGGCGGCCCCTGGTGGCTGGGCTCTGGAAGGTTCTCAGGTCTGAGCCTCTCATCCCCGTGGAGCCCGGGGGCGTGGCCTTGCGGGGGTGGGGGCGTGGCTTCGCCGGGCCCGGGGCGTGGCCTCGCGGTGTTGAGGGTCAGCGCCTGGCTCTAGAGTTAGAAGTGTCCCTCCTGGACGTGCGTTCTCTCCGCGGGCCGCGGCCCCGCTCCAGAGGACTCCGGAGAGCTGCTCGTGCACCGTCCACCTCCAGCCCCTCCAGCACCTCCTTCCCCCACCCTGTCCCTGCGAACGAACCTACACCCTTCCAGAAACCACACGAGTGGTTTCTATGCTCATCTTCCAGAATCATTCCCATTTTCTCAGAGCCCGGCTTCTACTGAGATTTCTAAGGAGTATGCTTTCAGTCAACAAACTAATTACTTGGGCTGGGAAGATGGCTCAGTGGTAGAGCGCTTGCTTTGCATGCCTGAGGCCCTGAGTTCGATTCCTCAGCACTGCATAAGCAAAGTATAAAAAAAAACTAATTTCTGTTGTTGTTTTTTTGCTTCCACAAGTGTGTGTGCATAGACACATTTGTATTTTTCTTCATCTGTCTTTTCGAGGCAGTTTAACTCTTCCCTCCTCTCAATCCCCTTTCCCAATTTCAAGCGAACTCTCGAGAAAAATTGGGAAATTTTATTTATATTTCTATTTTCTTTTTTTTTTGTGGGTTGTGGGGGCTTGAACTCAGGGTTCAAGCTGGGAACTGTACCACTTTGAGCCCCACTTCCCATTTCCTAGGGGTTAATTCCTGCCTGGGCTGGCTTCGAACCGCTATCCCCAGATCTCAGCTAGGATTACAGGCCTGAGCCACCAGCACCCGGCAGGAAATTTTTGACACGAGTGGTTTCTATGCTCATCTTCCAGAATCATTCCCATTTTCTCAGAGCCTCAATGTGCACATCCCTGAAAGATGGAATTAATGCTTTTAGGTTAACTGTCTTCGACATTTTATTATAGTATAGCTAACCCAGCAAGTCAGGTGATTAGATTCCCAGCGTGGGGATTCTCATTCTCATTTTAATTCAGCAAGTTTATTGCTATATACACCTGGCAGTGCAGGTCCAACAATGACAGGCACCAAGGTGGTGGGCCAGAGGGCTTAGAGGAGTCTGACTAGAGTTAGATCAAGGAGATTCTCTGGTCAGTACAAAAAATAATGAGGGGAGAGGGAGGAGTTGGGGAGGTAGTGAGGGAAGGGATGGTAGGGGAAAAACAAAAGAGGAGGTAACAATGCTCAATAGGAAATGTACTCATTACCTTACTCATATAACCATAACCCCTCTGTACAGTGTCTTTACAATAAAACATATATACTAAAAAAAAACTAAAGAAGCTGGGCCCTGGTGGATCACGCCTGTAATCCTAGCTACTCAGGAGGCTGAGATCTGAGGATCATGGTTCAAAGCCAGCCTGGGCAGGAAAGACCGTGAGACTCCTATCTCCAATAAACCACTAGAAAACCGGAAGTGGTGCTGTAGCTCAAGTGGTAGATCGCTCACCTTGAGCTGAAGAGCTGAGGGACAGCGCCCAAGCCCAGAGTTCAAGCCCCATGACCGACAAAAAAAAAAAAAAAAACTAAAGAAAAAAATATGAGACACCTCTTGGCTTCAAGAAATGATGCCCAGAAATACTGAATTTTATGGATTCTGGGTCATTGATGATTTTTTTTCTCTGTGTTAAACCTTCTAAATAACAGCTTCTCAAGAAAAACACCAATAAAATAACACATTTCAACTTTAGAAATGTTAAAAGGTTGTAAATACACCTTAACTCAAGAGAATACATAATAACTACCATTGTCCTTGCCCATGTAATTGTAACCCCTCTGTATGGTATTTTCACAATAAAAAAAACTACCATTGTTTGTGTATGTATGCATGGACATATGTGTATTACATGCATTACATGTTTGTATACACATACGTGTAACTAAAACCAGGGCCTTGTGCATGCTAGGCAAGCCCTCTAACACTGAGTTCTACCTTCAACCTAGCCATCATTTTTTTTTTTTTCCTTCTGTTCCTGAGCTGCTTTTGTTCAAGGCTAGAACTCTATCATTTGAGCCACAGCACCACTTCTGGCTTTTTCTGTTTATGTAGTACTGAGTAATTGAACCCAGGGCTTCATGCATGCTAGGCAAGCTCTCTACCACTAAGCCACATTACCAGCCCTTAGCGTCTGCTTTTTTTTTTTTTTTTGTTGTTGTTGTTTTTAAAGCCCTTAACACATCATTTCATCAATGTGATGAAGTTTGTCTTTTCTGCAGACCCTTCAACCACCACATCTTATTGGTTAGGGTTGTGTCATCTTATTTCTGAGCCAATCAGGATTCATCCCAAGTGATTTAGGAAGAGGCAAACAGTAGCATCTGCCACTGTGCTAAATAAGCACGTCACAATTGTTTGGCTTATGATTTTGTGCCATAAGTTCTGTGAAAGAGTATGTGAGGAAAAAAATCTGAGACCTTAATTTGCAATTTTGGAAGAAAAATGTCTGAGACTGGTGTGATGGTAGACATTTTGCTGGAGCCTCTACCCAGGTCTCCTTGTTAGTAGTATGTATACATTTCACTATATGCTTTCACAGCACTTAACCTGCCCAAGTAAAAGTGGTTTCTTCTTTTTCAATGCATGTTACCTTCAGTTTAGTTCACAGCAAACCAGAGACCTTTTTCAGAATTGTTTAGTTGACTTGTCATACAGCACAAATACCTTAATGCTCATATCTGGCTCTTTTCAGAACAGCATGATCCTTTCTGCTGCCATCTTCATCACCCTCTTAGGCCTACTTGGTTACCTCCATTTTGTGAAGATTGATCAAGAGACTTTGTTAATCATTGGTTCCCTTGGCATCCAGATGACTTCATATTATGCCTCTGGCAAAGAAAGTACCACCTTCATAGAAATGGGCAAAGTCAAAGATATTGTCATTAACGAGGCTATTTACATGGTAAGTATTTAAGTGGTATGTATCTCAGGCCTTTATGAAGGGGCCCAAAAGGTGTTCCAGGATCTAAACTGAATCTAATACCTCAAGTATTTGATATCACAGGATTAAGTACTCAACCCACTGTTGCAGTACTTGTTTTTTTTTATTTGTTTGTTTGTTTTTTTTGGGGTCTGGTCGTGAGGCCTGAACTCTGGGCCTGGGCGCTGTCCCTCAGCTCTTCAGCTCAAGGCTAGCACTCTACCACTTGAGCCACAGCGTCTCTTCCGGCTTTTTCTCTTATGTGGTGCTGGGGAATCGAACCCAGGACCTCATGCATGCAAGGCAAGCGCTCTACCACTGAGCCACCTTCCCAGCTCTTGTGTTTGTTTTTTGTTGGACATGTCTAAACTGTAACAAGTGAAACTTATGTTGAAAAGATAAGTCACTGTGCAATTGTGCTTCACTTAGTGATGATATGTGTTCCAAGAAATACATTGTTGGCTAATTTCCTCATTGTGTAGACATCATAGCACACACTGACAAAACAAAAGTCTTGGTGCAATATATGAATCACTCAGCCGTGGCCTCTTGATGCAGTGTTTGAAGTTGCCACCATCATACACCATATAGTTTTACAGTGAAATTTTTTCTTTCACCGTAAAAATTTTTTTTTTCTTTCACACGTTTTTATTTTATTTATTTTTTTGGGTCCGGTCGTGGGGCCCGAACTCTGGGCCTGGGCACTATCCCTCAGCTCTTCAGCTCAAGGCTAGCGCTCTACCACTTGAGCCACAGCGCCACTTCCGGCTTTTTTCTTTTTGCTTATGTGGTGCTGAGG